ACACACACACACACACACACACACACACACACACACAGCGCTCTTGTTCCAAAAAAGCCGCAGAGACAGGGATTGGTGCTGTGGACTTTTAATTCATACCTCCTGCTCTCTTACCTGTAGCAGCTGAGTTGGGAACTGTACGGTAACTGTATAATTTCACCGTAACTCCCTGAGAAGCCTAGAGGTGGGATGAGTAGACGGGGGATGTGATCAGAGTTGACTCTTCTTTCATCCACCAAAAAACAGCAGGGGGCTCCTGAGAGCTCAACAATCCTGTCCACCTTGGCCAGACCTCGCCCTCCTGCCTGGGTTTGAAGCTGGGTCCAAGGTCTGCATACCTTTGGATCCTTTTATCCCAGACCTGCCCAAAGCCAGACGCAGTGGTTTCGTGAGTTTAGGGGCAGACAATGATTAGCAATGAGCACAACACCTGCCAGCTTTTCACAAGCACAAGAGGGTGTGTTTATGCCTGCACACTTCCAGAAAACAGATCCCAGACCCCCAGCAGGCCACCTGCAGAGAAAGACCAACTTCCTTCATTGTGAGTGGCAACCTGAACTTGGAGCCAATATATGTAGGTCTCGACAGTTTACGATTTTAAAAAAGAAGTGTTCTTGGATCCCTGGAAAGTTCTGCTCCAGAAGCTGCACCATTGAGCAGTGATTCCTCACCCCACTTTCACATTTTAGCCTGTCTGCTCAAAACAAAGGAAAAAAAGTCTTTGAGGGGCTGGGGACCGGGTTGGACAGACTCCCACTCTGCTCACCAACTACCCCAGTTTTTCCAGAGACTGTGAACTGAGCAAGACGCTGGCCAACTAGAGATGGTTTGTCTTTCATGTCGATCTTTCCAGCAATGCTGGGCACTGAGCTTCTAGTTGTACATTCATTAGATTCTTCACTTGGCCACCTCTGTAATCCCAGCATTCTGGGAGGCCAAAGTGGGAGGACTGCTTGAAGCCAGGAGTTCAACAACAGACTGGACAATATCACAAGGTCTTGTCTCTACAAAAATAAAACAAACAAAAAAAAAATTAGCTGGGCCAGGCGCAGTGGCTCATGCCTGTAATCCCAGCACTTCAGGAGGCTGAGGCAGGTGGATCATGAGGTCAGGAGATTGAGACCATCCTGGCCAACATGGTGAAACCCCGACTCTGCTAAAAATACAAAAATTAGCCAGGTGTGGTGGTGTGCATCTGTAGTCCCAGCTATTCAGGAGGCTGAGGCAGGAGGATCCCTTGAGCTCAGGCATTCAAGGTTTCAGTGAGCTATGATCGTGACACTGTACTCCAGACTCCAACCTGGGCAATAGAGCAAGACCCTGTCTCCAAAAACAAAAAAACAAAAAGATTCTTCACCTTAGTTATCTGGATTTCCAGAACGCCATCCCCTCCAGAAGGGCCCTGCAGGGTTCTTCAAAGGCATCAAACCTGGCCCTCTCTAGAACAAGTCTCCTTCTAGAATCACTCCAGAAACACAGAACGGGACTTGCTGAATGCTTGCTCTGGACCAACCATGTGTTCCCTCAGTCTTCTGAGGACACAGGGGAGCAGTAAACCTTTTATAGAAAAGAGCAGAGGGAGAGTTTTCTATTCCTGGGCACGGCCATCTGGAACTACTCGAGATATGGGCTGGGAAGAGCAGGGGGGCACTGTGGCTTCTAGAACTGCCTGCCAGCCATCAGAAAAAGACATTTTGCTGGTTCTAGATGTTCAGACAGTTCCAGAAAGGTCCCCCTTCTCTCCAGCTCTCCCAACTAGAATCGCTCTGGAAAAGGGTGCCCATTGGCTTCAGGAACGCCACAAGCTTCTCCAGAAGATGCCAGGCTTCTGGAGCCACAGACTGCTGCTGGCTCTAGAGAGATCAGGCTATTCCGGAAAGTCTCCCCAGCTCTCAAGGCTCAGCCCGTGTCCAGAGTGGAGACAGGTCTGCGTTAATGCCCACCCACTCGGGCAGGAAGGCGGCCTCGGGCTTGAAGATCTTCAGGAACTCAGAGTCTGGCAGGGTGAAGTTGGCCAGGTAGACAGTGTCTCCGCCAGCCAGGTAGGCAGCCCAGAAGCCGAAGGTGCCGATGGTCATGATGGTGTGGTTGCACTGCGTGAGCAGGGCAAAGTCTTTCCACGGGGAAGCCTCCTGTCCGTCGCCAGCAAACATCACATCGCCCTTCGAGGTGTCGATGTTTTCTCTACACCACTCCATGCCGTTGCTGGTGACCACAAACACCGGGGCTTCATGCCGTGCCCGGAACCAGTCCATGGCCTCCCGGAGGTAGGCGCTGTTGGCCACCACGCCCTTCCAGCGCTGAGGCATCACCTGGAGGTAGTCCCCACGGCGCACGTGGACGCCCACAAACGTGCGCGGCCGGTCCCCCGAGCGCCCCAGGCGGAGCCGCCGCAGCACGCTCTGCGCCTCTTCGCGAAGGTGGTCGTGCAGCGTGAACTCACTGCGGATCTGTTCCCGGAGATGATGGAAGAAAGTCCAGGAACAGGGGAAGCCGGAGAGCTTCAGGAAAGGATCCCCCAAATCCGCGTACTCCTCCGACATCCAGTCGTGAAGCCGCAGCTCCTGCCAGGGCGTGCGGCTGTCCACCTCTGGGGCAAGCACGGGCAGCGTGATGCGGAAGACTGGGGCCAGCGCGGCGTGCATGGCGGGCAGGATGAAGGCTCGGCGACTGTTGAGCTGGGCCAGGGCCAGCAGCGTGGCATACTGCCCCATTTGGTTACCAAACCGGCCATCGGGGTAGATCGTCCAGGTGCCGGAGAGGGAGGCAAGGTGCTGGGAACAGGGAGAGGAGGTGTTGGGGCTCATCGGGGTACCCGGCAGACAAAAGATGGCCACGGGGGGTGTCACCAGGTGGCGGTCTGGACACAGGACCGACAGGCCTAGGCCGTGTCGAATGCTGTCTTGGTGGATGTGGAGGAAGAAGGAGATTGCAGAGAGGACACAGACTAGCAGGAAGGCCAGACAGAGGTGACGATGGCTCAGTGGCCACATGGCTGCAGGGGAGGAAAGGAGAATTAGCAGATGCGCAGAGGCTGAGCAGGGATGGGGGAGGAGAGGGAGGCCTGGGGTTCATTTTCCCTCCAGCCCAGGGAAAGAGGAAGCTAAAGGTTTAGACTCTTGGGGCTGAGGTAGGGAGAGTCTGAGTCCTAGGTTTGAGGGATGAGAGCGTTGGGATCTCTGGGCATGGCGGATGGGAAGACAGTGAAGTGTAGCCATGGTTTGGCTGGGCACTGTGGCTCACACCTGTAAGCCCAGCATATTGGGAGCTGAGATGGGAGAACCTCTTGAGCCTAAGAGTTCCAGATCAGCCTGGGCAACAGAGCAAGACTCTAGTTTTATATAAAAAAATTAAAATTAGCTTGACGTGGCCTGGGCCTGGTGGCTCAGGCCTGTAATCCCAGCACTTTGGGAGGCCAAGGCAGGCGGATTACCTGAGGTCGGGAGTTCAAGACCAGCCTGACCAACATGGTGAAACCCCATCTCAACTAAAAATACAAAATTAGCCGGGTGTGGTGGTGCATGCCTGTAATCTCAGCTACTCAGGAGGCTGAGGCAGGAGAATCGCTTGAACCCAGGAATCGGAGGAAAGAAAGAAAGAAAAAAGAAAGAAAGAAAGAGGACGGAAGGAAGGAGAAAGAAAAAAAGAAATAGAAAGAAAGAGAAAAGAAAGAAAGAAAAGAGTGAGAGAGAAGGAGGGAGGGAGGAAGGAAGGAAAGAAGTAAGAAAAGAAAAGAAAGAAAAAGAAAATTAGCTTGGCACAGTGGCATGTGTCTGTGGTCTCAGCTCCACAGGAGCTATGTATGGTGAGTGCATCCCACAGTGAGCCACGATAGCACTGCTGCAGTCTAGCCTGGGCGACAGAGAGGGACCCTGTCTAAAAACAAAACAAAACAAAACACACCGATTGCCATGGTGCAGGTCCCTGAACTTTTTCTGCAGGAATCTCGAGTTTCCCCTCCTGTAAGTTCCACTGATCCCTCCTTCTTCCACCAGCCTGATTCTCAGGGGTACCTGCCTGTGAGGCGCAAAATCCACCACAGAGGTGATGATGGCAAGAAACAGCCCATGTGAAACAAGGAAGGCTGGAGGATCAGGAGCGGAAGGAGGATCTTGGTCCCGGTGGAGTAATGGCTGGGGAGGTGGTGGAGAGTCCTAAGGCCTTAGGAAGACCTGGCGAAGAGGTTGGGGTTGTACCTCTTCTTCCGGCTCTGAAGGAGTCGTTCCTGGGTCCCAGGCACCCGCAGTCCCCACTCACCTGAGCTCCTTGAAGGCGGCAGATCCACGCTTCGGGTGGCCAGAGCGCGCCGTCCACCAAGGCTGGCCATATCCGGCGGCCCCCGGAACGCCAGGCGCCCGGCTCTCCGGCCCCGCAGCCCTCCCCTCCGCGCAGCCTGCCCGGACTGGCAGCGAGGGTTTGGGGAGGGGAGGAAGGAGGGGGCGCGGCCGGGAGGTTAGCAGCCTCCGCCCTCCCGGGCCGGGCAGGTGCCAAGAAGATGGAGCCCCGCCCCTCCCCTGACGCCGAGCCCTAGCGCCCCGGGCTAGGGCGATGGCCCTTGGACCCACCGCTGCCCAGATCCGGCATGCAAGGAACCGCGCCCCGCCCCGCCGTCCCGGCATTGACCTGCACGAGAGCTTCACGCCGGGCAGCCTACCTGGCTTCCAAGCAGCCGCCGCATCCTTGCGTGGACCCGGAGGCCGCGCGCCCAGCTGCAAAGCTGGAGCCGGGAGGTCCAATCCGCCGCCCTCTCCTTCCCGGCGCCAGGGCTTAGAGTCGGCCCCAGGCACCTGGGTACCTCGAGCCTGGCCACGCCCCAGCGGCTGGGCAGGGCCCCCGCACCTGGTCCCGGCGAGCGGGGCGATTCTCCGCCCCCTGCTGCGTCCTCCCCGGGGATGGAGAACCTGTTTGCCAGGCTGCCGCGGGAGCTCGCGGGGGCCTCCAGCCTGCAGGTGTCCCCGTGCCCACCAGGGTCTCCGCTCTCGCACCCACCACCCCGTCCACACTTAAATTCCAGAATCCCAGGCCCTAGTGGCTCCTTTTGGAGAATTCTAGGGTCCCGTGCCAAACTGCTACTTTCCAGACCTGCACCGCGCGGCGGCAGCCATTCCAACGCCGGAGGCTGGAGGGGAACAGGGTCTGCTTCCCGTGCCATCAGCAGCGCCCGTGGCGGCCGGCACCTGGAACAGAGGCCTCTGCCCGCTTGTCACTTAATTAAAGCATTTTCTCTGGTCCAAGGCCCACCTCCAGCATCGCCAACCCGGAGCAGGGCGTGCTGACCCTCCACTCAACATACGTCAGTGTCAAGGACTCAGGAGTTCTACTTGATTCCCAGAAGTTTAACCATCATCTCTCCAGGCTCAGGACTCCGAGTACCCAAGACCCTTCCCCTCACACCCAGAAGTCCCGCCCCTCCTCCCTCAGACCCCAGCCCCTCCTCCCTCAGACCCAGGAGTCCAGACCCCAGCCCCTCCTCCCTCAGACCCAGGAGTCTAGACCCAGGACCCCTCCTCCCTCAGACCCAGGAGTCCAGACCCCCAGCCCCTCCTTCCTCAGATCCAGCAGTCCAAACCCAGGACCCCTCCTCCCTCNAGTCCAAACCCAGGACCCCTCCTCCCTCAGACCCAGGAGTCCAGACCCCCAGCCCCTCCTCCCTCAGATCCAGCAGTCCAAACCCAGGACTCCTCCTCCCTCAGACCCAGGAGTCCAAACCCAGCCCCTCTTCCCTCAGACCCAGGAGTCCAAACCCCAGCCCCTCCTCCCTCAGACCCAGGAGTCTAGACCCAGGACCCCTCCTCCCTCAGACCCAGGAGTCCAAACCCCAGCCCCTCCTCCCTCAGACCCAGGAGTCTAGACCCAGGACCCCTCCTCCCTCAGACCCAGGAGTCCAGACCCTCAGCCCCTCCTCCCTCAGACCCAAGGGTCCAAACCCCAGCCCCTCCTCCCTCAGACCCAGAAGTCTAGACCCAGCCCCTCCTCCCTCACACCCAGGAGTCCAAGTCCCAGCCCCTCCTCCTTCAGACCCAGGGGTCCAGGCCCCAGCCCCTCCTCCCTCAGACCCAGGGGTCCAGGCCCCAGCCCCTCCTCCCTCAGACCCAGGGGCCCAGGTCCCAGCCCCTCCTCCCTCAGACCCAGGAGTCCAGGCCCCAGCCCCTCTTCCCTCACACCCAGGAGTGCAGACCCCCAGCCCCTCCTCCCTCACACCCAGGAGTCCAGACCCCAGCCCATTCTCCCTCAGATGTAGAAGTCCTATCCTTGCACCCTTAGGGGCTCCAGGAAATTAGCCAGCCTGTATTCCCTCTGGGTGCCCACTACAGAGCCTGGCTCGGCTGCCAACTCCAGTCCGAGACGCTCACCGCCCCTCCTCCCAGGTTATTTTAGGAGCACCTGCCTGAGCCTGGGATGGCTTTTCTGGTGAAAGAAACACCAGGATTGCATCAGGGAGGAGGATGCTGCGATGCCCAGGGTCTGAGCATCTGAGCAGGGGGAGAGGAGGTTGAGGTTGGCCCACGGCCAGGCGAGAGGCTTCCAAGGCTGGGCACTGTGTCTCTGCCGAGGTCACTGTTTCGTACAGCAATTGCCACCTTGCTGAGGATCAAGGAAACTCCGTGTCAGACCATGCCCTCCCCTCAAACTTAGAAATTCAGATAGGGGTCAGAAATTTCTCTTGTTCTTGAGATCTGCATGAATGAGCCAAGAGGTGGTTTCTCCAGGATCCCAGCACCCCTCCTTCCTCCTACTCCTGGGTACTACCCCAGATCCTTCTCTCTGAGACTCAGGAATCTGGGCTCCCAGCCCCTTTCATCTGAGTCCCAGCTAACCTGATTCTCCTCTCCCTCATCCCCTAGACCCCCATTGAAAGGACCCCCGGATTGCATCATCCATCCATTCGGGCTGCCCTTGCCACGATGGAATTCTAGCTCCTGCCAAGTGGGTCAAATATCATTGTTCAGGCGCAGGGAGGCTGATTGGGCGGAACTGTCTGGGTATAAATTCTGGAGCTCCTGCAGCTATCCCAAAAAACAGGGGTGTCCTGTCGGCTGAGGATCCACCTGAAAGAGGACCCAGGCACTCAGGGCACCTGAGCAGCGATCTGTGGATCTGCTCACCGGGACAAGCAGAATCTGGCACAGATCTAGACCACTCAGCTTCTCCCACTCACACCCTGGACATCGCCTGAGGACCTGAGCCATTGATGGGCTCGGAGGAGGTCGAGTTGGAGCACCCTGCACTGTGGGTTTCTGTGCTGGCTGGTCTCCTGCTGGGAACCTGCCAGGCGCACCCCATCCCTGACTCCAGTCCCCTCCTGCAATTCGGAGGCCAAGTCCGGCAGCGGTACCTCTACACAGATGACGCCCAGCAGACAGAAGCCCACCTGGAGATCAGGGAGGATGGCACGGTGGCGGGGGCTGCCCACCAGAGCCCCGAAAGTGAGTGTGGGCCAGCGCCTGAGTCTGAGGAAGGAGGGGCTGGGGGCTTGGATTCCTGGGTGTGAGGGAGGAGGGGCTGGGGGTCTGGACTCCTGGGTCTGAGGGAGGAGGGGCTGGGGCCTGGACTCCTGGGTCTGAGGGAGGAGGTGGCTTCACCTGGACTCCTGGGTCTGAGGGAGGAGGTGGCTTCACCTGGACTCCTGGGTCTGAGGGAGGAGGGGCTGGGGCCTGGACTCCTGGGTCTGAGGGAGGAGGGGCTGGGGCCTGGACTCCTGGGTCTGAGGGAGGAGGGGGCTTTGCCTGGACTCCTGGGTCTGAGGGAGGAGGGGGCTTTGCCTGGACTCCTAGGACTGGGACGGAGCGGGGTGGAAGAGTTCCTCTAGGCGCCTTACCACTTTCTCCCCTTAGGTCTCTTGCAGCTGAAGGCCTTAAAGCCAGGGGTTATTCAAATCTTGGGAGTCAAGACATCCAGGTTCCTGTGCCAGAGGCCGGACGGGGCCCTGTATGGATCGGTGAGTTTCTGGGACCCTCCTCGGCGCCCACCGCTCCCCCTGGCTGCCGCCCTCACAGCCTGGGGTGCCATGTCTTGCTCATCCCCCGGAGCCAGACTTGATTCTATTCGCTCTGCACACCCTGACCTCACAGCAACCTTTGGAAGTTGAGGTTTATGTCATCAGTGTTTGCAAGATGAGGAAACTGAGGCCCAGGCCAAGGCACCACAACCTCAATCACGTGACGTGTGGAGCCAGCCTGGCCTGAGACTCAGGGGTGATCGTCTCATTCTCAGTGACACCTGCTCCTGCCCACATGGCCCCTGTGTGCACGGCTCATGCTGGGCACAGGGACACTCGGGGAGGCCATGGCCAGGAAAGTGACCAAGACCTTGGGTGCTAGGGGAACCCCCCAGCCTGGCCTGAGAGAGCACTGACTGCTCCGAGGGCTGGAATGTTCTTCTCTGTGAAGTCTGCACTGAGAGCCGGGGCCCTGCAGGACAGATCTGGGGTATAAAAGAAATCTCCTGTTAGTGTTTGTTACCTAGAGGAGGGGCTGGGCCTGGACTCCTGGGTCTGAGGGAGGA